AACATGCATATTAAATCACAAGTAACGTATATAAACAATGAGAAAACTTCAATTAACAAATGTTAAAATAAATTTGTTTAATTGATACTAAATTCTGAGGTACATATTATAATCACTGATTATTTATCAGTTACTAAAAGTAGAAATACTAGGACATATTCATTAATCGTTTGAATGCAATACGAAAATCACTATTCAATAAACCATAGAGTATTGGATTGAGTGTTGAATTGAAAAACACTAACCAAATGACTGATAGGAAGCCTGTCATAGACTTGTGGTCAATGGCATTCATATCTGTTGTGAATAGTAATATGTTAAATGGTAATAGGCATAACATATGGACAATGGTAATGATAGCCAATGTCCTTGCTACTCGTAACTCCCGGCGCATTATTTTGTCACTTTTATCCAATGGTTTGTATCTTTGAAATTCATTTGTCTCTTTAGGTTTAGTCTTATTTTTGAATTCAATTGATTTCTATAAATTAAAAAATACAATTTCAATTATAATTAAATTGTTTAATAAAATTAATTTACATAATTTCTAAATAGTTGTCAAGGATTTGATATAATAGGAAATTTAATATAAATTTACAAATAAAAGCTTATTTTTAAGAAATACCTTATAGACGCCATAATATAGTGGTGCAATTACGCAAATTGGTATTAGGTATTGCATGAGAACTGCAATCTTAGCAAGATCATTTCTATCAGACGGTATACATAGGTTTTTACGGATTCTATCCATAAATATTTGATTATCTCTGAACCCAAGTCCGGGCCAACACGTGACAAGTATAGCGAAAGTCCACGAAAATGAAATCATTGTCTTTATATGTGTTAAGGATTTATTCCTCGAGTACTGTATTCTTGTGACCGATAGGTACCGATCGATGGCTATACACATGAGGTGTAGAAATGATGAGGCCGTACAGACCCCGGACACGAAGTAGTGAATGTCACATATAATTGATCCCATTATCCAATCGCTTACATATACGATACCATAGTATGCCGTCACAGGCATTGAGAAGACACCGATCAGGAGATCGGTTATACTGAGCGATAGTATGAGATAATTGGGACGTATTTTGAGTTTAGGTGTTGTTATGACCGGTTATTATTAAGACGTTTCCAATTATTGTTAAGAATATTATGATAAACAGTAGTATTGATGATAAGAATTGAATGAAATATAGTTTATCGGATGAAACGTGTGTTGAATTCATTTTGGACATCAAATAAAACGATAAAATGTAAATTAATTTCAAAATTCTATGTATTAGTATTTGCATATAATATTATACTGATACATTGAATTCTTAGAAAACACTTTTATAACTATTACTTTTAAATCCGCTAAATATGATACAAGTATTAATAAAACTACTAAATATTTTGCACATATAAAGTACTTGAAAACTTTTTAAAACTTTTAATAAAAAAAANCGTCGACCGATATAACCACCGATTTGGACACCTAAGACATTCCGCTAGATTATGGGACCTGGATATTATTATTATACCATACTATACCAGTATAATTCAGTCGGGTTTAATTACAATTAGCGAGAACGATTCCCGGTTTTGCATTGTTAGTATAATATTTATCATAAACTCTCTCTCTCTCTCTCTCTCTCTCATGAGTTGTTAACCTTTTCTATACATTTACATAATAATAGTAATTTATACACAAAAACAATAAATACCCAAAGATTTAAAGCTTACTTTCGGCACAACCTATTAAAATGCATATCAGGCAACAAAAACAGCTATAATCTTGATAAATCTATAATAATAAATAGCACTTTAGTGCACAAAATTAGCCCAAATTATGATGTCTTGTTGCGAGTTAACCCACATATTGATAAAAATTGTATTACATTTTGAGTTATAAATTATTTTAAATATAATGATTTAAATGCAAATTATTGCACATTTAAATGATATATTAGTTTAAATCTTGAGATTAAACTTGAATAATTATCCCAAATATTATTTTGCTAGAAATATTTAGTTTATATAAAAATTATGAATGAAAATATTAAGCTGCTATAAAAACTCTATACTTTTTGCTGTGAAATATATTCATTCCTAATATCGTAACTCTGACTCGTTTTTACAGCAAAAAGTATAGAGTTTTTGTAGCGCGTCGACCGATATAACCACCGATTTGGACACCTAAGACATTCCGCTAGATTATGGGACCTGGATATTATTATTATACCATACTATACCAGTATAATTCAGTCGGGTTTAATTACAATTAGCGAGAACGATTCCCGGTTTTGCATTGTTAGTATAATATTTATCATAAACTCTCTCTCTCTCTCTCTCTCTCTCATGAGTTGTTAACCTTTTCTATACATTTACATAATAATAGTAATTTATACACAAAAACAATAAATACCCAAAGATTTAAAGCTTACTTTCGGCACAACCTATTAAAATGCATATCAGGCAACAAAAACAGCTATAATCTTGATAAATCTATAATAATAAATAGCACTTTAGTGCACAAAATTAGCCCAAATTATGATGTCTTGTTGCGAGTTAACCCACATATTGATAAAAATTGTATTACATTTTGAGTTATAAATTATTTTAAATATAATGATTTAAATGCAAATTATTGCACATTTAAATGATATATTAGTTTAAATCTTGAGATTAAACTTGAATAATTATCCCAAATATTATTTTGCTAGAAATATTTAGTTTATATAAAAATTATGAATGAAAATATTAAGCTGCTATAAAAACTCTATACTTTTTGCTGTGAAATATATTCATTCCTAATATCGTAACTCTGACTCGTTTTTACAGCAAAAAGTATAGAGTTTTTGTAGCGCGTCGACCGATATAACCACCGATTTGGACACCTAAGACATTCCGCTAGATTATGGGACCTGGATATTATTATTATACCATACTATACCAGTATAATTCAGTCGGGTTTAATTACAATTAGCGAGAACGATTCCCGGTTTTGCATTGTAAGATTGCAGTTCTCATGCAATACCTAATACCAATTTGCGTAATGGCACCACTATATTATGGCGTCTATAAGGTATTTCTTAAAAATAAGCTTTTAATTGTAAATTTATATTCAATTTCCTATTATATAAAATCCTTGACAACTATTTAGAAATCATGTCAATTCATTTTATTAAACTATTTAATTATAATTGAAATTGTATTTTTTAATTCAATTTATAAAAATCAATTGAATTCAAAAATAAGACTAAACCTAAAGAGACAAATGAATTTCAAAGACACAAACCATTGGATAAAAGTGACAAAATAATGCGCCGGGAGTTCCGAGTAGCAAGGACATTGGCTATCATTACCATTGTCCACATGTTATGCCTATTACCATTTAATATATTACTATTCACAACAGATATGAATGCCATTGACCACAAGTCTATGACAGGCCTCCTATCAGTCATTTGGTAGCGTTTTTCAATTCAACACTCAATCCAATACTCTATGGTTTATTGAATAGTAATTTTCGTATTGCATTCAAACGATTAATGAATATGTCCTAGTACTTCTACTATTAGTAACTGATAAAGAATCAGTGATTATAATATGTACCTCATATTTTAGAATCAAATATACAAATCCAGTACTTTAAATCATTTTTTAATTGAGCTTTTCTCATTGTTTATTTACGTGATTCATAATTTGTAATGCAGGTTTTATATTAATGTTAATTTGCATTGTGCTTTATTTGTAAAAATAAAATATTTTAAATAGATTTATCGACATGAACCAGTAAAATGGCAATTGATATCAATTCAAATAGATTACACGCAATGTATAAATAATGGATACTAAGAATACAATACAAATGTAAAGCAATATTTACGGAAACGCTAAAAATATTTTTATATACTGTGTATCATAAATAGTCTTTATATAAGTAAACTTTTGAAATAATTTCACGAGAAATATAAATATAATTATATTTTGTAATTATTATATTATCCTAACTTAATATGAATTCAACACATATTTCATCGAATGATTTACTGTTCATACAATTCTTGTCATCAATTCTCGTGTTTATTGTCATCTTTTCTACGATAATTGGTAATATTTTGTTCATAACTGCAGTCATAACAACACCTAAACTCCAAATACGTCCCAATTATCTCATACTGAGATTTATAGATTTTTATAGATTTATCTATAAATCTATAGAAATCTATAAATCTATAAATCTATAGATTTCTATAAATCTATAGATTTCTATAAATCTATAGAAATCTATAAATCTATAGATTTCTATAAATCTATAGAAATCTATAAATCTATAGAAATCTATAAATCTATAAATCTAT